ATAATGGGACAGAGCTTAAGGGCATGTTGCTGACCTCAAAATAGAGCGATTAAGCCAAATATGCCTTATCCGAATGTTGCTCCTTTTCGATCTACAGGGTGTTTCTCCTAATCTGTCGTACAACGTCTTGAAAAGCTTGTGGTTAGGTTGTCTGTTATTCGGATATAACTCCAAGTACCTCGCTGCATGACGACCACAATAATTTTCTTGGACATACATACATACCATGTTTCTCATTTCAACAAACGAATAATCATTATGACGCGGCATTTTAATGAAAAAAATCACAAACGAAGAAGAACTAAACTGTCTAGTATTTATAAGTTGCTTAGAATTGACATAAATAATACATGACATTTCATTGACAGCGGCCTACTTCATTTAAGTCATCTTATTTAAAGGCGTACGTTTAAACAAATAGCTTTGTAAAGAAATAGTAAATCGTTCTTATTTCGAAGACGGTTAAGTTTATCGATTTTTAACAGGTATATCTTTTTTATTTAGAATTGAACGTAGTTTAATAATTTCTTATTGGAAATTCAGATTTTTGAAGGACAAAAAAGTTTGACATATGTTTACTCCGACGGAACACTACAACTAGCGCATCCTAGATGTGATTGCAAAATAGTTACCATTTCCGTAATTACCACCTCAGAAAACATAGGTGTACAAACTTTCAAGACAATCCGTTCAAAGATGCTCAAGATATTTAAAAAAATCGAAAATATTTTTTCAACTTTAACACCCTGTAGATCGAAAAGGAGCAACATTCGGATAAGGCATATTTGGCTTAATCGCTTTATTTTGAGGTCAGCAACATGCCCTTAAGCTCTGTCCCATTATTAATGAATCACCCTGTATATGCTCGTGTGTCGTATATTTCATTTTGCAACTAAGGCTAAAAGTTAAAAAAAATTCCAGGTTGCAAATTTGAAATTTAAAAAAAAATGATAGATTTCAATGTATTATTATGAAATCTACCATGAAAAAAATCAGTGCGATTGTGGAAGATGCTCGGGATCGTCTAGACCAATAATTAGTTAATTTGTTTATAAGGCTTAACTTGTAAACTATTCAACTTACCGATTCCAGATTTCGTGTGAGTTATTAGACAGTGATAAGAAATGAGAGGAAGAAATGTCAAAACGTTCTGGTTATAATAACGCAGTTTATAACTGTTTAATTCAAAAGTCATAAATAAATTTCTTCTGTTTGTAACTTTTGATCTAATCAATATTTTTTGACGCTCGAGGGATAGTTGTGTAGGTCTTTTGAAGACGAAAAGAAAAAGTATTTTACTGTTTTCTCGTGGAAATGAACGGAAAAAGTTATAAGTGAAAAACGTGAATTTACGTAAAAATTATACAATTAACCACCCTGTAAACAATCTTCCCCCCATTTTTATGACTGTGGAAACTTACATGTTATTGTATATAGTATTTAGCATCTAAAGTGATAAATTGAGCTTGTCGAAACAAAAAGTCGCGTTCAACTCTATATTTCCTGGCCTAATAAACGTTTTGGGATTTGGACAAGCAGAAATTCAATGACAGCTGTTAGTGAAACTATATTAATGGGATATTTCCAAGAAGTGTTGTGTATTTACATTTTATCACTTTAAAGAGATATTTATAATTTTTGATAATTTATATTTTTTATATATCTTTTAGTCAGAATCATTCAGCCCTAAACAAAAGATATTCAATGTTGAAGACCACATTATTAGTGCGCAGAAAAGTAAATATAGGAAAATCTTATCGATTAAAGCATTAATTGTAGTAAATATCGATATCGAAGGATATATTCCAAAAAAATCTAAGATATTGACAAGAGAAGATATTTTGAAATTTATTAGAGAAGCATTATGTTATATATATATATATATATATATTTTGGAAAAATGGGTGTTTTGGAGGACTAAGAAGAGATGAGTTGGTACAGCTCTCGATAGATGATGTACATGACAAAGGAATCGTTGTTATAGTAAAAGTTAACGATACAAAAACTGTAGTACCAAAATCTTTTACTTGTAGAAGGAAATGAAATGCACGCTCTCCAATTGTATCGACAGTATATATCTTTGCGACCTAAAGAAATTAAAGAACGGCGTTTTTTTCTGACATCCGGAATGGTCGATGTACTGCGTAACTAGTAGGCAAAAATACCTTCGGTAGCATACCATCCAGGATTGCAAAATATCTCGTCTATGCTAAAATGAACATGTTTGCATCGTACATCGGCAACTCTTCTCGTAGATACAGGTGCAGGTATGATATCATTGAAAAGACATGGAAAATGGAAGAGTGATACTGTAGCATTAGGATATGTAGAAGATACCATAAAGTCCAAGAACAAAATATCTTCGTTAATAGCAAGTCGAAAGAACTACTGATGACAATTTTTCTGAATTGATTGTGATGGAAAATGAACAACATTTATTCGATGGCAAAGAAGATAGTTTTTGTGGTGTTACTGTTAAAGGTTCCTTCTCAAATTGTGCTCTCGTTTTTAAAGACGGTTTTAAATAATTTTTGTTATTAATTTAAAGCAAATTATATCAAATTATATAATTATATATCAAATATTAATGTTAATAAACTTTGTACTTTTCTTTGTCTACTTCATTTATTCAAGGCACATTTACTATTCTACCCTTGCAGAAAAGAAGGGTACAAAGTAGGGCCAAAATGCGCGCGATAATATTTAGATCCGCTTATTTCGCCTTAGTGATATGACGTTGTTTTCCTATTCTGTTTCCAATAATAAACAAGCTATATCGCTTAAGAGAAAAATGAAATACATTTCGGCAAAATTATACACTTTTTATAAATTTAGTTGATAATTAGTAAGGTTATCATATTTTGTTGTTTCTTTATTATCAAAGTTTATATTTTAAATATTTGCGTTTGTATTTGTTAGTACATATAACAAATGAGGTTATTTTAAAAATTAACAAGAGCAAGGTTTCCATGAGGCTCTTTGGGGATTTAGTTTGTTTAAAGGATTTAATAGGACATTCGAATATATATTTTAGGACTTTGGGAGAATTTTTATACTGACTAAAGAATAGATTAAATGAAAAAATGTGTCTCCTGTTTTAAGCAAAATCGGAGCATAGTTGGTTTTATTTAGTTCGGTTTTTTCTAAGATTTTGTTAGTGATGTAAAAAAAATAATTCCATGAAAAGTGAAATTTGTATATTAAGTACTTCAATAAATCAAATTTCAATTAAAGTAACAAAATAATGAAATAGTTCCATATTACTATCAAAAACAAATAAAAAAGAATATTAATTAAACGAAACTGGTCGATTCCATAAAATTTATAAAACTATCAGATACTAAAAATAAATCTATCAGATAGATTTTTCCTGAAATATATTTTATTTTAATAGGTAAAGTAAATAATAGCAATATACAAAAAAGGATTGTATTAGTTACATATATCTTCTAAAAGTAGAAGCCGAGTAGTAATGTGAAATACTGCAAGCAGAAAGTTTCAAAAAATTATTTATGTGAATTAAATTAAGTAGCGTTCCTCTAGCTGAGTTATAATCCAGTCGGTGGTAATTTTTCACCAAACGCACAAGTAATTAGCAATATGGCCGATTTTTTACAAGTTCTTCAGAGTGTGCAAATTAACATAAAAAAAGTTCACTGGGATATCAATATCCCAAAATCCAAAAAAATGTTTAAAAACATTTTGATTTTCGAAATATTTTGGACTGTCTGCACAAGGAGATTGTATTGGTATGAATAACTTGAAAACGGCGTATCTTAGGGAAAAAATTAAAGTTACCTTTTTTACGTATTTTGTGCAGTAGAATATAAATCCGTTACAATAACTTGTAAAAAATGCAGTGGTTTTATAAAAAAGGAGATGACCCGTGCCCAGTTGTACACCATTGGTTGTACCTTTAGAGCTCATATCTTAGGGAACGTAAGGCCTACTGTTATAAATTATCTATACCAAATTTTATTGAGATCGGGTAATAGATTCCGGAGATATAAACAAAGTTATCTTTTTTGTTGCAAAAAACTTCCTGTATAAGGTGGTATATTTTATTTTACTCCATCTTCATCCCAGTCGAAATATTAAAGAATTTCAAAAATCAAAATATTTTTCAAAATTTTTTTGGGCTTTGGGAAATCGATACACCAATGAACTTTTCCTTACATTAATCTGCCATTTTGCTAGTTACTTGTTTCTGTGACCCCCATCGACTGGACTAATATATATATTTAAAAATAAGAAAGTTAATTACTAATAATTTGCTTTTCCTATAAAACAATATTTACGAACATAAAATTCTCACTAAATATCTAAAATAAACCTCACCTCTTGCAGTGTCGTACGTATTATTTTTTCTGCCTACAGGTTTTTGTTGCGTTTTCATTTTATAAAAGGCACATCCTTAATGTATCAAAATGAAAGGATTTGATTAAACTCTACGAAATTACTATCTTAGAGGGAGAAAAGGCAAACAATATTTGTTTTTCTTAAAAACGCCAAAATGCTTCTGCTATGTTCATATTCTGATATATTTTTAATTAAATTCATATCCATTATAAATATCAAAAAAATTATATTTGTATTGCTTCTTTTTAATATGAATGAATTGACTTACAATGATGCTTATATTGTACTTATGATTTTTAATTCTTTTTAACTTTATGTAAGTCGTAATTATTCATTTAAGAGTTCTTGAGCAGATTTGATTATTAAATTCGAGAAGTGAAAGGTTTAGTTTCTCTCGTTCCGTGGCCCATCGGAAAAAAAGATAAATATTGAACAGAAAAATTTCGTCACTATAAAAAACACTTGTATCATAGATAATAACAAATATGTATAATTAAATATCTAAAATAACTAAATATGGTGCTGATGAATAATAGTTCTTTAATTGACTTATTAGCTTATTACATTCACTCTCTCACAAGCTTTACAAATGTACCTCTTCAATAAATTGTTTAAATCCTGTTTTAATTAATATTAATTACCTTATTAGATAGGAGCCGTTGAGTCAAGAGTTAGAATATGCCTAACAGTTCTCTTCTCTCCACTGGATACACTACACCGCACTATTATACAATAAAAGCAACAGTTTCAACGTCGATATTTTGCATTAAGAGACTGGGGATTCCTTGACTGTTACAGACCTGTCGTTTATCAGAAAATGACGTAATCGTTGTATTCAGAAAACACAACGGGAACTGTAGATAATATTATGTTAAACAACTATAAAACTTAGTTATATATTATATTAATTTGATTCATATTAACAATTATTAGTGATGGGGAATTCATTTTAAATGTTTTAAGAGAGATAGAGTTTTGCAATTTGAAACATCAACATTTAAAATCATTTTTTTGTAATAGTACACTCATAGAAATTTGTAAACACGGAAAAAATAATTAAACATACACGGAAGCAGGTAATACGCCATCAGGTGCGATAGGAGAAACTTCGTAAATATGCTTGTATATAATATATGACAACCAGTATCCCAGGTAAGCTAAACGTATATTTTAGAAGTGAATATTCTTTGGGTATTTATTTATCTTCCTTTTGTGCAGGGTGTTCCTAGGGGAACATGCAAACTTCAAGGGAACCATATTGAGATACTAAAAAAGGTTGTTACATAAATATTCACTTCTCTGTTGTTTATTTGCCTTGGAAACGGTTACCGTAAATATACACATTATGCCCTATTGCATAATGAGCGGGCGTTATACAGGGTGTTTTTAAATGAAGTAGCAAAAATGGTACCAATGAATGTAGAGCCAAATAATAATTTTTCATTAATTAATTAATAGCAAATTATTCTTAATGTTATTATTAAACTACCAGCTTATTGACAGAAAATGTCAATTTATTAATATGATAAATAACAATTTATTTGTTATGACATCCGCCTACTTTATTTTTACAAATTTTCGCAATTACCCCTTTAGTGAACGATGACGCATCTAATTTTTTTACTAGAAAACTATCGGTTTCATCGAAAAATTGCAAGAGGTAAAAATGTGTGCAATAAATCAGTCTTTCCAATAAATATTTTTAAATAAATAATTTACTTCATATCTTCATAACTTCTAATAAAAAATTGCAATGGGGTTGACTGTTTCACTCCTTTATAAAATACGCCAATGATCGAACAAATATTGAAAAGTTGTCTCTGTATTAGTAGGATGCTCATACCAAGTTTCATGTCTCTAGCATTCCCCATGTTGAGGAAAAAAATTAAAATGTGAATTTCAATTTCCTCCTTTAAGAGGGTATATCGCCTCAGGGGTGCAACTTTAATATAAGATATTTTTACTTCAATCCTCTTATTTTTGGCTCTACATTAACTGGTACCATTTTTGCTACTTTATTTAAAAACACCCTGTATAATATTTTTTAACATTCTTTAACAGTAATTTTCGAACATCCCTGAAAGATTGTCCCAGTTTCTTGAAAAGAAAATTAGGCCGTTAGTGATTCGCCTGATGCCGTAACTGAATCTAAAATCATAGATATATGTGTCCTTCTGCTACAGATGCATTTTTCCATTTCTCCCACATTTTTAGAATCTCACACGATGTTCTATCCTCAACCAAAAAAATGCAGTTGTATTTTTTAAATTCAAGTATTTTGTGATTATTGAATGTATGCTTCCTATTGTATTTTTACCAACAGACGGGATATACGGGAAAATCTTCAGGAAAAAAAATTTCCTGATCAGTTTCAAAGCACCTATTTATCTTCCTCTGCAATAGTATTTCTTTCTCTTATATATCGTTCACAATGATTTAATTAAGCTTATCCTTGATCCTCCAGAAACAATCATCACCAAAACTCTCATGATATCATCCTGTTCCAAGACTTTCGATTTTTTAGGTTTGTAACCATTTCATTATCAGTTTAACGCTCCTTTAGTAGCATTAAACCAACAGTTAAAAGTATTGTAATCAACTAATGTTTCCAATATTTCATCTCATTTCATGTTTTTTTTCTATCTAAGCGGCAGAACTCAAAAGAACGACATTGTTTAATGCTTTTCGGATTTTCGACCGTGCAGAAACGATTCGATATTTATTTAAAGTCTAGTAATAAACATTTTTTAACATGATACCTACCTTTTTATTTAAAATTTGCAAAATTTTTAAATGTGATGTGTGGCATTTGGTATTCGTCGTTCGTTGTCTGCAAAAAAGGCACGGCAGAACATAATGTTTCTATTAAAACCATCCAAGTCTTCATTTATTCTTATTAAAAGAGTTTTACATCTGAATATAAAATTTTTATGTGTAGACTGGAATTATTTTAAATTAAAAAAAAATGCACAATAATTTTTTTTATTTTACATTACACAAAAAATATCAGAAGATGTGAAAAATGCTAGTCTGATACTATAATTTCCATGTAGACTGATAAATATGGAATACATTGTCAATCACAATGATTGGCCATTTCTATACTTGCACATATTCGAACGGGTTTGGAATAAATCATACAATCTCTCCACACTGCGCTGATAAAACGTGTTACCAGAAGGGTTTAGAAGTCCCAATATTGGACAAGCTGTCATTTAAATACATATATTCTCAAAATTGCTTTCTCGTGTCACCGTCCTTTGGGATAACTAACTGACTCCTGAGAGACACTACGGCTTTAACAAACTAAAAGTAAATCTTTTTGTAGAATTATTTATACAGAGTGCTTTTTTATCTTTATGTGATAACTTCATAAGGTCGTTTTTGGGTCATTTTATGTTAAAAAGCCTTAAGAAGCAATCGAAATTCTAAAAGTATCTGTGTGGGCTTGTATTTACTTTATCTTGCATCATGCCCTTTCACAAAGAGACAGCTTGACCAAATCTATTTTGACAGCCGAGCTCATATTCTGTCGAACGTCGAACGATGGACGTCGACACAATTCGAAAAAAAGTTGTTCGTACTATGGAATTCAAATCATTTATGAGCCGTAAAGTGCTAAGCATACAAAGTCGTGAAATGGTGCACAATATATTTAAATTAATGACAGAAGAGGGACGAAATGGCCATATGTTAGGAAAAGATATTAAGAAAAGTGCAAGAAATAGTTGCAAGGCAATTGACATTAGTGTGAGTACACACAATTATTGTGAAGCAACGAGAAAAATATTGTAAATGAATTTCGATTACTTCGATCATGTAGTGCTGCTACTACTACAACGATCAAAACTGGAATGTTAAATAGAAAAAGAGGAAATGGTGCCTACGAGACATATCCATAGAAAGTTCCATGAAGGTGTAGGATACACTGTAAAAAAATTGGTGTGTGTGAAAGCAATAAAGGTTCGGAGTGAATCTATCGAGTGAAATTATTGAGTACATTTTCACTCAATATTGTACATTTTTATCATTTTACCCATTTGTGATTATATTTATTTAAACTAAAACTGAGTACTTTCATTCAAATATCACTCCTTAAATAAATTCTTCACGTAAACTCGTATTTAGTGAACTTGTACCTAAATCAGAGTAAATGTCCTCATTACTGAGTGATTCCACCCTTTTTCATATCCAGATGAATTGTCTTTGTCTGTTCCCATCGTCCCATTAGGTGACAAGTAGGTATCGGTTTATTTGGATTTAAGCAGGCCTCAGTTCCCCCGTAAATCACGTTATTTTAACCGCCTCGCTTGGAGGGGGAACTGCAGTATATTGTAAACAGGTGTGACGCGCCTACAAGCAGCATTGGCGCGCGTCTACAAGCGAAGAAATTCTGGCCTCAATATGGTGAGAACTACTGGGGAGTATCAATATTCAAACAATTATTTTATACTACTATTTTGATTTTTGATAAATGTAATAGGTAATCTGTTTATTTAGGTTAATAGTAGAATAGTAGGTATTAAAATATGAGTGTGAGAGCCAAATTTTACAGTGAGGCCCGGCCTCAGTTGCTTCATACGACGAGCCGCCACTGCTTTTTCTATTAGAAATGCATTTAAATACTACTAATCACTATCATTACTAAGAAGCAGATTTCAAATGAAATCAGATATAATATTGACTTATATGACAGTCTATCAATTACAAATCGCCACAAAAAATGTGCAATGGATCGTGTAGTTTCTTTTGTGATTGAATCTTACTACAAAAATAATGATTGTGTGGTCGCAGCACAGCGGGAACTTCGAATTAATTTCAACATTTCTCGTCTCGGGAGAGTTCCATAAAGGAGTGGGTTCGTAAATTTGAAGATACTGGATCAGCTAAAAATGTCAAACATAAGGGACCAAACAGAAGTATCAGGAGTCTTGAAAACATTGATCGCGTTAGAGCATCTGTAGAGCGCAGTCCAAATCGTTCAAGTCGAAAACAAGCCAGGCCTTGGGCTTATCTAGGACTACTTTTCTTAGAATTTTACAGAAGGATCACAATTTTAATCCTTACAAAATCCAGATTGTCCAAGCATTGAAACCAACAGATCTTCCTGTTCACATACATTTTGCTGAAACGATGCTGCAGCATGAACTTGACTTTCACAATTTATGGATGTCTGATGAAGCACATTTCCCTTTATCTGGCTATACCAATGAACAAAACAGCCGTTATTGGGCTTTGGAAAATCCACAAGAACTTCATCAACAGCCGTTACACAGCCCCAAGGTAACAATATGGTGATCTTCAATGGGAATCATAGGTCCCTATTTTTTTGAGGATCATAATGATTTTGCTTTAACAGTCAATGCTGCATGCTATACTGACGTGATTAACCAGTTCCTTACACAGCAACTTAAGATGTTTCCACAATAGCTGGTTCCAGCAAGATGGCCCTACTTCACATACCGCAAGAGCATCAATGGATTCCGTGCGAAGAATGTTTCCAGGTCATGTTATCTTCAGACACGGAGACATTGAGTGGCCCCCAAGATTTCCAGATCTTACGACATACTGTTTGTGGGGCTATCTAAAAAGCAAGGTGTTCATTGACAAACCACGAGATATTCGGGAGCTGAAAATGAAAATTCGGGAAGGAAATGTTAATATTCCGTTGGATATGTTGCGTCGTGTTATGCAGAATTTCAACGTTCGGCTTCAAGAGTGTATGGAGAGAAGAGGAGGCCATTTAGCAGGCATAATTTTTAAGAAATAAAAATGGCACACAATTGTCTTGTTATTGCTACACTTTGTTTTAATTAAATACAGTTACTTTCGGAAATACGTCGTTTTCAAAACTTGCCGCTCCCATTATCCACCTATTATAAGGAAGTCTCATAGTACCATAACCACGTAGCTTCATAACCAGGTATTCCTATAATCCGGGATGTGCGACAGATGAACATCGTTGAAAGAATTAATGTACCGTGTACGATGTAAAATAAATTTCTCCGGACAACTAATTGTTAGCCTGACTTACATTAAACATTTAAATTTTTTTACTTCTCTTTCAAATTAAAAAAATATATTGTACAACCATTATTTTGCATTAAAATCGCTTTTTATGCATTGCGTAGGACGTAAAAAGCAATTAAAGTCGCCAATTGTATGCATCCGAAGATTTTTACTTCTCTTTCGGATTAAAGAAACTGGAAAAGGCTTGAACAATAATTATTTAGCGTTGAAATATATTGTTAAAATCTTTTTTTAAGCGCAATGTACCTACAATGTAAACTCTAGACAATTAATACAAGCCTGACTGTTAAGTTTATAAATTGTCAACATTCAACTCCTCATTCGTATTAACAAAACGTAAATTATAGACCAACCATTAGTGAGCATTAAAATATCGTTCTATAAAGTGCATACAATGTAAAAAACTATAAATTAGCAAATTGTATATATCCCAAGATTTTTACTTCTCTTTCGAATAAGAAAACTCGAAAATATATAAACAACGTTAAAAAAAACTTGGTAACACATAATAAATAATACCAATACACGGAATCATAATGATGTGGAACCTGTGGACATTCCTAGTTTTGTCCCTGCATTTTTTGACATTTACCTACGCGAAATCTTGACAAACATAGTTTCTTGCAAAATGTACTTTTCAGTTCCAAAGAATACGTATTTAGGTGTCCTTGTATTGTTAAGGACATTTTATTACATTTTGTAAGTTGTTTATGAACAATTTACAATAACTATCCTGTACTATAACTAACAATATTCAAAATTGTATGCCTATAGATCCACTGCCCCTCATCTCCCGATCTTTTTTAATAACACATATTTGCTGATGAAGGTCTTAGGCATTGCAGGAGCATGTCGCTCTGATGAGTTATGTAAACTTACTTTCCGCATTCTAAAAATGATATGTCACGTACGTTTACAATTTCTTCTCGTCTGGGTTCTATTTCTCACCTAGAAATTCTCAAGAAATATATCAAGATTTGATTGGAAATTAAAACTGAAATTTCAGGCTTTTTTATGCGCTATTAAGCAGGTAGATGTTACAACCAAACAGTCGGCAAGAATACTCCTTCTATAATTGGTAATAACTAATAAGATTGCACAGTTTTTGAAACTACAACATCCTGAAACATATACAGGCTATTCATTCCGAAGAACATCCGTAACGTTACTGGCTAATACAGCAGTTGATGTATTATCAAGAAACATGGTGGGTAGAAATCATCCACAATTGCAGAAAGTTATGTTGCTGACAGTTTAAATAACAAAAATGAAATAGCCAACTGGATTATTTCCGATGATATTTCAACTCCAGTTTCTAGTAGTACGTTGCATCATGCTGTTTTAATGGAGCGAGAGCGGTCAGCCAATATTATCAGTCAAATCAATTTGAGAAAAATGTGACAAATTAGTAAACGCGAGGGGAATAATTGTACATATTTTATAAATGTTACTAAATGTAATAACTGTACAATTACTATAAATAATCATTCATAATAATTGATAAAATGTAATGTTCATCAAATATTTCCATTTATTTGTTAATAAAATGTGCTTTCATAACTCGAAATCGCTTATTTCCCTAGGGGGCAAGTTATCTGACTTACCTCCCGTTGTCCATAGCAACTTCCATTTCTACGGTAAAATCCTCTTAAAAATTAATCTTCTTATTAATAGTCTATTTACTATAGTGGGAGCAGATAAAATAAACTAAATTTGATTTATTATAAGTTTATAATTTTTCCATTAATCTACTAGTGAAATAAAGTTACTTTATTCCACTAGTGGATAAAGTATCATTTTAGATGGATTATATGTGTGGATAAAAGTCCGATTATAAGGTGATTGTGGATAAAATAAATTTCTCCAAACTAATTACAAGCCTGACTGTTACATTTAAAATTTTTCAACTTTTGATTCTTTTTACTCCTCTTTCCACTTAAAAAAACTTATAGACAAAACATATTTTATGCATTAGCATTACTATTCATAGAAAAAGAATTAGTACCAGAGACTTCTCATGACCAAAACTTCGTGATGAGGTTATAGATGAATTTGCTAATTTGTCTTTTGACAGAATATCGTATTAGGTTAAATGTAGGGTGGTACAGCATTTTCTGAATAGATTAGCTTTTAAGGTCCGGATGGGCCACTGACTACTACAAAAGTCACAATAAAAAATGCATTATTTTCAAGTGCTTTATTTATCCTTGTTGCATATTTACAAAAAAACTTCCCCATTTCCTTACATGGATAAAATACCTACACTCTGTTTAAATACACACAAGCTCCAGATTGGGGAGACGTAGAAAATAACACTGTATTTAGTTTATCGGTTAATCCGAATGGTTTGTAAAAGTTTTCCCTTAAAAAATGAATGTATCTATCAACGTTGTTCGGTGGTAGAAGGGAAACAGCGCAGCCTCCCCACCCTGCTCCCGTCAATCTCGTTCCTAAGGTAAATTCCCTCGAAAGGTCAACTAACTTATCTAATTGGGGGTGGCTGCATTCGTAAAGGTCTCGAAGACTCTCATGGCTTTCCAACATAAGTTTACCCAGTGTCTCCAAAGATCCCTCTCCGGTAGAATTCAAGCAGGTTTCGTGGAACTTTCGCACCCTGAGGGCCTCTGAAAAGAAAATCAGAAGTGTTTTATATACAGGGTGTATCTAAATAACACCGAAAAAATGTAAGGGGCGATTCTGTGGTGAAAATTAATAGGGATCTTTGGTATAAAATTCTTTGAAAAAACTTGAACTTGAAAAGTTACGCCAGTCCAAAAATTTATTTATTCATTATATTTATTACTTATATTACCATATAATAGTTTAAGTTTGAGGCACGCTTGGTCTGCCTTGACCCCTGACCGCGGACGGCCTAACTAACTAATTAACCAACCAACCAACCAACTAACATCAACACACCGTCGTCGTCGTTGTGATAATAATAGTCATCATCATCAGCAAAACAACAATGCAACAACACATGACAACACAACAACTACACAACAACAACACAATAACAACAACAACCACACAACACTAACCACACAACAACAACCACACAATACAACAATAACAACACAACAACAGCAACAACAACAACAGCAACAACAACGGCGACGACGAGGATGACGACGAGGACAGTGATGTTGACGACAAGAACATAAAGAACTGAGTCAGATCCATAATAACGAAAATGTGAAATGGAGGATATTTTAATTTTTAGGAGATAATAAAGAGAGTAGAGATGAAAGTATTTTTAAGCTAAATTGGACTTATACATATGAATACACAGGGTGTTCAAAAAAGAGTGTAAAATATTTCAGGAGGTAATAGTATAAACCAAAATAAGCAGAAAAGTCTTAATAAACATGGGTCCGCAAAGTAACGGTTGCGGAGATATGGACCACTATTCGTTTTTCAAACATTTTATTTTATTAGGAATAAACCGACAAAGGAAGCTTTTAACAAACAAAAAACAAAGTTACAGAAGATGTTCAAAGTGCCCTCCGTCCATTTCCAAGCAGGCACGACATCTTCGTCTCAACGATATTCGAACTCTTTCGAAAACACCCTCCTTGGTTTGGATTTCTTGACACTTTTGATTAATCCGTAGCTGCAGCTCTTCCAGGCTATTTACAGGAGTACCATACACTAATGTCTTCAAATATCCCCAAACAAAGAAATCTAGAGGGTTCAGATCAGGCGATCTTGGAGGCCATAAAACAGGTCCGGCCCTTCCTACCCATCTATGTGGAAAAGTTTGGTGTAAATGCTCTCTAACGGCCATGGAAAAATGAGCTGGAGCACCATCATGCTGGAACCACATTTGTTGCCTCTGATTCAAAGGAATGTCTTCCAAAAACTCATACAGTGTGTTCTGCAGAAAGTTGAGGTAAGCAGCGCCTGTTAATCGGTTTGGTAAAACAACAGGACCTAGAAACCTGTCACCTACAATACCCATCCAAATGTTTAATGAAAAACGTGCCTGATGTCCAGATTCTATTAGAGCATGAGGATTTTCGTCGGCCCAAATATGCGTATTGTGAAAATTAAACACTCCATTTCTTGTGAACCCGGCCTCATCAGTAAAAAGAATGTTTGCAAGAAAACGAGGGTCTTCAGCATCATGACGTAGAAACCAGCGGCAAAAAACCAAACGTGCTTGATGATCATTTATTGGATTTAAGGCCTGTACTCGTTGCACATGGTATGGATAAAGCAGTTGCTCGTGAAGGATTCTCCAAACAAGAGGACCACTAATTCCTACCTCGGCTGATATTCTCCGCACACTCGTACCTGGATTCTGCTCTACCAGTGCTAGAATTTCTTCTTCTGCTCTAGGAGTGGATACCGACCTTGGTCTTCCGGATAAATGGCACTGTTTGCTCAAGGAACCGGTATCACGCAATCTTTGGTGAATTCTTCCAAACATGCGTTGTGAAGGAATCTGGCGATTTGGATAAGCGTCAACATAAAGACGTCGCGCTTCGGTGGCGTTCCCATTAGCACGACCATACATGAAATGCATGTCTGTTAATTCTGCGTTAGAGTAACCAGCCATAGCGAAAGAAAACTTGTGCACTGAGAACAACTGTCAAATACGTACTGTTTATTTCACTAAACATCAACCAACTATTATAAGAAAATACACAACGTTTTTGCAAAATAAAAAAAGGGGATAAAAAACATAAAACATTCCATATCTCCGCAACCGTTACTTTGCGGACCCATGTCTATGGAGACTTTTCTGCTTATTTTGGTTCATACTATTACCTCCTTAAATATTTTACACTCTTTTTTTAACACCCTGTATAGAATATTATAGATCTTTTGTTAAATAGTCGGCGTTACTTGAGAATCTTTAATCACATAGTTTTACAAAAGCTAAAAAATATATCCTGACTAAATCTTGACGATAACATTTTATACGAGATATATTTAGTGCACTGTTTGAATACTGAGGTGAAAAGTGCTCTTCGAAGCGAGTCCGCAAAAAAACTAAAATAAAATATATATATTTTGATGTTTTGTATTCTTAGGATTTACTAAGCTAATTTCTGTGTGCATTGGTCTATGGATTCCTGTCCTGATTGTAATGAATGTCTTGTTTTCAAATTCCAGATATGATAGTTCTATGCTTCCATCTCCATGTAGATTATTTGGACGACCTTTCTATTTTTATTGCTTTTTGTAGAGTTTTGGACAAGATTTTATTTCTTTCACCAGAATGCTGGTATTATCTAGGTCCATTAATTCCCCTGTATCTACCTTGTACTCAACCACCCCTGATTTATCTACATTTAAGTGAAACTAACAATAACAATACAAAGAAATCAACAGTTGCAGAACACAGGAAAGATGTAAGGCATACAATTAACCTAAGTATACCATAATTCTGGCAAGAGAAAAACTTGGGAATGACCATAACAATCAAGGACCGGGAGGTCATAGGCCAATTACTTTCCGATGTCGGTTGACCTCTATCACCTCATGTTCAAGGTCGTTTGAAGGTTAAATAAAGAAAAGAAGCTGAAACAAGTTGGAAAAATTTTTACCTGCCTACTTGTATCTGTTTATCTGTCTGTTTTACCTACACACCTGTTTGTTTGCTTATTAGTTTGTATTTATCGTGGGCCTGTACTTTCCCTCTGTCCATCTACCTGACATCCAACCTACCTTTCTGTCGGTAATTTTGTCTATCTTCCTGTTTGACTAATGTTTCTCTCTGTCTGTTTTTCTGCCACCCTCTGTCTAAATGTCCACTGACAGGCTATCTGTCTCCTTGTCAGTTTGTCTTCTTACCTTTCTGCCTACCATCCTCTTTCGGTTTTGCGTGATTGTACAAAAACTAGATTAAAAAAAAACTTCTGAAAACCGTCAACAAATCAATTCGCTTCTCTCAGCATAAGTGTGTTAATCGAAATTAGGCGAGAATGCTTACGTTGTTCCTGAAATGATCTTCGAATCGCTTTTCTTTTATGTGCTTTATTTGAGTCTCTCTTTAGATTTCAGCTAACATATTCTTCTCCCAGACACCGTGAGATCTTTGTTCAAACTCATTCAGGTCCTGATGCATTCTGTCTCCTTATTCTTCAACAGATTTTCTGGGAACCTATCAAGATGAGAATGAAGAAAATGAAGTTTCATATTCATATGCCATTTAGAGAAGACGATGGCAGAAAAACAGACAGATAGAAACATTTACTTATTTAGTCAGAGAGGAAGATAGACAAAATTACCGACAGAAAGGAAGGTAGAAAGGCAGGATGTCAGGTAGATGGACAGAGAAAAAGTACAGATCCACGATAAATACAGACTTGCAAGCAAACAAACAGGTGTGCAGGTAAAAAGGCAGACAGATAAACAGACAAAAGTAAAAACGGCATTGGAATCAGCGACCCCAAAAACCCGAGGGTACCCAGCTAGAGCCCAGTGTTTTTTTTTTCAAACTAAATATTGACCCGTATTATCATTTGACTAATAACAGACTATCTTGCGTATATCATAAGCTTCTCGGAAGTTAAGGAGATACTCTGTAGTTAAAATATCTCGTTAATCTTACGACTTAAAGGTTATGTATGTACTGTCAACGTTTGCTAGGAGTAAATTTTATGACTGCTACGTATTTTGAGCAGGTTCTCCAATTTTATTCATACGAACCTTTGATTCTAATTCACTGTAAAGAAAAATTTCTGACGTACCTTTAAACTTACTTAACCTGCAAAAATAACTGCTTTAGCTTACTCGCTACATAGGTGCACGTTATACCAACTTCCTGTTGGATGCAAACCATTCTAACTTTGAGCTCTATTGTCTCGAAACGGACGAGTACCTAAGCAAATACTCTATATGATTCCTTTTATTACAGAATTTAGAAAAAATACCACAAGCCTTTTAAGATAAGATTCCTTTATTTTTGGTCCCATTTCCAGTCCATCCTTATTTCCGTTATATTACTTTTAGCCTTATTTCTATTTGAAATGCGCACATATTCACAGTTCTAAACAATTACACTTACCCTGGAATACATGAAGAGCCCTTTGTCTCAACTTAAAACTTCGTATGTGCTTTGTGTTTTGCGTTAGCGATGTTGCATCCAAATGGTCTATCGTTGTTTCCAGTTCCTGGACGACTTCCTCCTTCGTGTAAGGCTGCTCATGCAAAGTCTCCTTTACGAGGGCTATCATGTCGGTAAGATCCAATCCAAGGGCCTGCTGCAACTCGCCGAGCCGCTTAATGTTCATCCAATGTAACCCTTGTTTCTTGGCTATCACCTAAGAATTTAGAGATACTTTTAGTATTGGGACTTTTACTAGTTCATTGCGCATTCAGAGCAAAGCAATTCAGTGTTTAATGGTGTACAACAGCGAAATTTTGCAACTAAAGCTGAGAGAAAAATTATTTCAATGCTTTAAGATAATGAAAATCAAGTTCAAGTTCGTAGCTCGGTCGCTAGGGGGCGCAATCTACATACCAAAACATAGAGTTTAATTTTTCTCAGAAATGTTTCCTATTCAGGTATATTAAATAATATAAATATGGACAGCCTGATTCATTGCGCATAACTTTTGTTATTGATATTTTGTTCTATCTCTCGACAGAAAATGTTGTTTATTTAGTGGCGCTATTTATCCAAGTTTAGGTTGTTTCACGTTTTCTTAAAGAAAAGGATAAAACTTTTTATAGGTTAGTTTGAAGAGCATACAAATAGCTCCATTTTGACGCCAAAAAGAGTTCGATATCTGTTTGTTATCAAGTTATTCGCAAATTAGCGAGCAAAACATAAATAATGATAAATAATGAATTGAGGAACACAACGCTAAAGAAAAGACATTTAATTACCAAAACAAAATGCGTTTATAAAATAACCTATCTAAACACGCAGCGAAGATTAAATTCCTGCTTTGAAAATAATGGTAGCACTTCGAGCATTCAAAAAAATCTTTGATTTTATTAAAATTTAATTGTTCTTTCTTTACATAATATCAACATCTGTTTGTTATTGCTTTTATTATTGTTAGTGACACTCATTTGCGTGGATTTAGGTAGGTTCTTTTATAAACGCATTTTGTTTGTAAAAATATACAGAGTGTTCCATTTAAGAAAAACCACCTTAAAGATGCTCCACCCTGTTTAATTCAAAATATTTTTAAAATGTGAACTTTTTTAAGTACATCACTCCCATACAATATTTCTTTTAAAATCTTTATAATAAAGGAGATATTGAACTTTGTCACACTATTGGGCCACCCTGTACCTATTTTAATATTTTGATAACGTGAGAAATTTCAAATATTTTCGTATTTCATCCAATAGACATAGGTCAAATTACATTATCTAATCAAAGCTTTTGTCTAGATGAAAGGTTTAATCGTAGGTCACTACCTTTGCAATAACAATACCATTTAGGTGGCTATAGAGAAGCATGCAAAGAGGTCAGAGTTCAATACGAGTGTATATTTGGAATCCCAAACAACTTCCATTTAAACTCTGCGCACACATTAGAAGCTTTTAAGTTTGAGGTGAATAATAATCGTAGGATTCTAACGATGTGTAACACTTAAAGATACGGAAATTAAATTCAGCTATAAACACGAGCTCGAAGTCTAGAGTAATTTAATTAACACCACTGCTTCGAACTGAATTATCAAAAGAGCACTAAAACCGAAGGTATTACAAAAAAACTGGGCAACAGGAATCAGACTTAAAGTCGTATCAAGGTTAGTACAATTTTAATATATTCCTTTGTTTAGTTCTTATTTTGCCTATATAAGATTTATTGAAGTTACTTAATAATTGTAAAATTGTAAATGTCTTCAATTATTATTAATTGGTATTAGTTAGTGGGTTCATGATGAAAAGAACAAATTCGTTTAAAATTTAGGTAATTAGTATTTTTAGTTGCGGATTTTTTGACATAAGAAAATTATATACAGGTTGTCTCAAGAAGAACATAATATGCAGTCATCATTGATTCTTTTTAATGGATTTGAAATCTGATAAATGGAAAAAAATGTTTAATCATAAAACATTATTTAAATAACAATAGCTTTATAATAAATGTCCAATGTTTTATTCGTTTACTTCAATACATTTTTATAGTCGAAGGATTGTTTCCCGTTGAACTCTGCTGAAATAAGTCTTACTTCCCGGCGTATTCTCCGTATTCTCTGTATCAGGTAATCAAGATTATTTGGTCTATTCGCATAAATTTTAGATTTCAAATAACCCCATATGAAGAAGACATCTAAAGGGGTTAAATCCAGTGACCTTGGTGGCCACTCAATGGGGCCTCTGCGTCCAATCCTTTTATTAGGGAAAGTTAAGTCAAGAAATTGTCGAACAGCAATTGCAAAATGAGGAGATGGACCATCGTGTTGAAACAATATATCATTATGAGGAATATCTGGATCTTGTGGATTAGGAAACACAGCAGCTAAAGCGGGGATGAGTTCAAACTGAAGATAGTAGCGTTCTACATTTAAATTTTCTTCAAAAAATAAGGTCCAAGAATTCGGTTTTCGACAAACATTTATTTTTTGATGATGCTGTGTGTGACAGACTTGTGTCCAACGAGGATTTTCAGCTACCCAGTACTTGGAGTTTTGTCTGTTTACGTGTTCATTTAAAACAGAAGTAGCCTCATCAGAAAAAATAATCTTTCGAGTGAAATCTAAGTTTTGATTATTCATCTCAATTATCTGCTCACAAAATTGCGTTCTTCGGTCAAAATCGCCTTCTAATAGTTCAAGTATCAATTGAACTTTATAAGGATGATATTTATTTTTTCGGAGTATTTGTGACACAGATCCCGATGATAAATTACAATTCCTAGACGTTGTCCTAATGGCTACATGGGGATTATTTACAGTTTCTAGTAAAACGTCTAGTTTAGAATATTCTAATATTTCTGCAGGTCTTCCTTTAGGTAAATCTCTAACAATTTTATTAAATTAACTGTTTTCTTTTTGTATCAGAGCGTCGTTTGCCCTTACATAGCTTAATATAGGTTGACTAAGGAAAATTCTGAAAGTTCTTAAATAGATTTATGTTAAACATTTGACTATCAAGAACATTTCTAGAAAATTCGTAGAATTCCAGTCCTTATTACGTTTAATTCTTTTACGTCTCGGTTTATTGCCCCATCACATTTACACCTTAAAAAAATTAACACTTTACAACTATATTCCCAAATTCTTTTTATTCTAAAATTTTGTTTTCTTATTGTGGTCAATAAAATTTATTTTTTCTTTATTTTTTCAGATTTACTGGGAAATACCAACGTAGTGTATACTGAGATTGCGTGCCGACATGCCAATTCGTTTTGATATTGTCGTACTGTGCAGGAAGTTCGAAATTTACCCGTGTTTCTAACAAGGCTCATTTCCCACCAAAACAATATAATTCCATAGACGCCCAATCCCCACCATCACCCCAATCACGTAGGAAGTTTCCAACAAATACAAATTACACAACACACTTTCGAAAATTTCCCGTCAAGCCGTTACGATGCCCAGATTGCCGCCAAAAGTCACACTTGTAGCAGACAACGACGACTACGTATGCCCACCATCGCACGGAAGCGAAAAATTGTCACTATACCTTCCAAAAAATGGCGACAAACGAAACCCCTGAAACTTCAAACTCGCGTCCCAAAACGACCTCATGGTCAGTACTAATTACAATCATTTTCAGCATGAAAACTCTTTGGAGACGTCCACAATCCACAATGGAACGAAATTTCTGGACCTGAACCGGACATACACACCAGGCCTCCCTGCGGAGACAGTGTCTTCAGCGTTGAGATGTCAGCCCGGGTACCAAGCTGTTTAATAACCAGTATTCGGAACCTGGCCAGTACTTGCAGAATTACTCAAATTTTCTTGTGCTTGTGCTTTATATACGCAGACAGTTAGTTGTACTCATTTATTGTTAGTTGACAAAAATAGTCACTAAATCCCTCACTTTTTTAAAATACAAATTCGAGTTATATTTCTGACACCAAAAATACCAAACCGAGCCCAAAGCATCCAACGCTCTTAAAGCAGACCATCCAGGTTCATCCTACCTGCGGTGAAGATCCTTAGAGATACACAGTTTCTAAAGCTACCACACACAAAATCTCTTAAATCTTTACACACAGGCTTTCTAGGAAGGGCTACACAATCGTAAATGTTAGTTTCTTAGCCCAGCGTGTACAAAGACAGTGATGAAAGTATACTCGAAAACAATATTCTACAGTTCTCCATAAAACAAAGTGCAAAAACAGAAACATACGAAGTTTAATTGAAAACCTTCCAAAACAAATAAACCAAACTAATAAAGTAAGGCATATTGCAAGTGCTAGTACGTCTTTAGGTCACAAAATAGAGCGTGGATCATTATCCCAAGACTCTGCCATCTCCTCATCAATGGAGAAAGAGCGACGTCATCTATCCCAAGCGTCCGTTGAGGTTGACGTAAAGGGGAGACGCCCGCACATCCTGGAAATCCGCTTGCAGGCGAACAGGATACTAACCTCCCGGCACCGCAGGCAAAAAAGGACCCTCAGGAACCGTCGGTCAATCCGATTCCAATAGGAGGTGTGTGATCCCCTGTTAAGCCAATTCAAACGACCAATCAAAATCCTCGAATGGCGCCCAACGTTGAGCTTACGGATACAAGTCCGCAATAATATAAATTTTTTGGTTGTCACATGCTGTATTAGCAAATTTTAGAAATTTTGATACTAAAGTTCAGTAATGTGATTTATGTTGAAGTCCTTGTCAAATTTAAATTCAACCTTGTGCTTTATGTTATGAAATTGAGTTCATATGCTATATTGTCGCCGACTTCAAACTTTTTATTTGAGTTTCTATTTAAACAATTTTTTTCGTCATAATACCTTCTCAGTTTTCATAGCCCACGTATTTTTCATTTTGCAATACTTACTAGAAAATATAATTGAATTAGATATTGTTACGCCTATGTATATACTGCAGTAGTTGGATATGCCAGAATGTGAATGTGAGAATATATGTAGAATGTCTTGTAATCTGATACAGACCAATATCCTCTTGAGCTTGCAATCAGATACATTATACTGCAAATGGTAATGTGTATAGGACGTCTTTGATTACGTATTAAAATAATAATTGCACATTGTCTGCTCTTCCCTGTTTGTTATTAATCTTATTGAAAAAGTTTTGAGTGATATGAGTTCTCTAGATTGATAAAAATTTTTTTATCTTAATGATATAAAGATTGTCCAAAATAACACTGAATATTTACAATG